ATTGAAGAGATAAGGAACCTATGTGTAAGTTTTATACCCTAGTCCAATCAGTTTTGAATGTAAACACTTTTAATATGATTAATACATTTTATTTATCGTAGATTTATCATTTAATTGAATTATTATTCTGATAAATTAAATTAATAAAGTTTGTATATTTAAGTCTTGGTAACTTATTAATCACAATGAGTTGTGATTGTGAGAAACAAATTACATATGACTGAATCTTAAATTATCTGTGGTCGTAAGTAATAGCGAAATACGGATCACGAATAGACCAGCATGTGTGACATTTCTCACTTATGAAGTGAGTAGGATTTCACAAGCTAAGACATATTGACATTTAAATGGACACGTGAATATTATATTAAGAGAATGAAATATTAGAGACCATCTAGAGAGATTTCACATGGAATTGGTCCTTGGACTTCAGGATTGGTGTTTTATATTCATAATTGTTAGTAGATTCCACATGAAATTCAGTGGTTAATATCTAACATTCGATAGTGAAATTGACCCTTCGACTTAGGTCATTATAGTGCTTTATATGATAACAATCATATTTTGGTGATGTCGGATGTTATTCTGTCAATGATCGCTAATACAACATCATTTAAGTATATTAAGAATCATATGAAAGTATATTTTGGTGATGTCGGATATTGTTCTATCAATGATCACTAATACAACATCATTCGGGTATATTAAGAATCATATAAAAATTGTGAATAATAAATAGAGAAATTGTTAGTCTTAGATAATAAGAAATTATGATATACGTTTCTTTTGATATAGTTGATACCGAAATCCTTGGCCAAGGTAAGAGTATAAGTCAAAAAGAGTTACAACTGTTATCGACTTAAGAGTAAGATAAAAGTTATGATCGATAATCAAGATTAACACAGTTCCATGTCTCGTAATTGATCGGATTATATTGAAAAAGAGATTATAGTTTTATGGTAAACAAACAAATTTGATATTATCACACCACGTGACATTTTTCGTCACAAATATTGTTCTAAGACATTGGTAGATATCAATTTGGAATGACGAATGTAAATTTTAATTTTATGTGAATTAATAATAAATTAAAAAGGTGTTTTAATTTATCTAACTTTGATAAGATAAAAATAATATTTCACATAATTCAACCTAATATGTCACATACATTGCCGATTTTAATTTGAAAGTTACGTTGTACTGTAAAATTTTCAACTACGCAATAATTTTAGAGGGACTTGATGAGGAGCATGTAGCCATACTACGCCGATCACTCCTATGATTCTTCTATTCATTGAAGGGCATGCAATTTTCTGGTCAGATCGTCGATTCGCTATAACTTTGGCTTGTTAAGTTAGTCGATGGCGATGAGCTGTATTTTGCCCTAGGGGACGGGAAGGTTTTAAGATTCTCGATCCTTAAGTTTGCCTCATTATGGGCTTGAAGTGTATTAGTGAAGAAGCAACGAGGGCCCGTATTACAACAAATAAAAGGTTGCTGGATGAATATTTTGGAAGTAAAGGGTTTGTCACTCCCTCACAATTAGAGGACATATTCAGGAAATGTGATCCCATGTTGGACATATTAAAGTTGGAATTTATCCTAGAGAGTGTACTCAGATGTCGACATTTATGTCTATTGACCTTTTTTCGTTACACGTTGTTGATGACATTGATGCATTCAACAGCTATCCATGGATTCGGAAATGCTATACAAATATGCAACACGCCTTCATGATGGTGCATTAGATAGAGTGGAAGTATGATGCATATGGATTTCCGTCGCTTTACAGGTAAATGTTTAACCTAATGATGTTAAACTTTTATTAAATGTATATACATAATAATTATAAGTGTTGTAGATATGGGCATATGAGGCTATCCCAGCCTTGGGTAGCAAATGAGCGATAAAAAACGAGACAAGCTACCATTGGATGTCTCACTAGTGAGCATATAATAAGCCTTGGCTAAAGATTTGACATCTATATTCGACGATCTTCAAGTGAGTACTACATATTTGCGATTTATATTGTATGTATATTTATCAGCTCGATACATGACCATTAATTTGTTGAAATGTCAATATGTCAGCTCGAAGTTCTCACTAAGTTGGCAACTTCGATAGAGGAGGATGATCAAATGTACATGCGTGGATTATCATTAGTTGATTAAATTATTAATTGTTAATATTCTTATTTGTATATGAACACCATTCAGTGGAATGACGATCGCCTCCACTTAGGATATCTCCTTCATCGAAAAGATCACCTTCATCGAGGAGATCTCTTTCTCCCACACCCAGGCACTTCTCCTATGGATCTCCTGCACCCAATCAGAGATATTATTTTGATAATTTTTTTACACGTCTTACTAGAGTTATTAGAGAGGAGATATGAGTGCTATGACGAGAGTTGGGGCATGATTTAGAAGCGGAGTTAGGAGTGCTATGATAGGAGATAGAAGCATTGAAATGGGAGTTGAGAGCCGAAGTAGTAAACTTACGACATGATGTTAGAACGCTACGAAGCGGTTTAGGAGACATTCATAATAAGATCGCAAATTTACGAAGAATGTAGCAAGCCGCAAAAGTAAGATGGTGGGTATGACGAAAGGAATGTTAAAAGGATTGGCAGTACTATTGATAGATGCATTAGTGGTCCTTGGGACTGAGGGTATGATGGAGATACTGATGGTGCCCATCACATAGGGTATGGCGATTCGTAATGGCCATCAGATGATACCTTCGATTTGTTTTTTGGATCTATATTATCGATGATGAAGGAAGGTAAGGTCCCAGTAATAGAAGGGTGGCGATCCCCGGGACTAAGGTTATACCCTCGATGGCGATGGAAGAGGTAGAGGTCCCAAGACAGAGGATGTGGAGGTCCTCGGGAATGAGGGGTGCCCCCGATGGTAACGAAGGGGAAGGTCCCAGTGACAGAGGTGGTATCGATCAACGGGACGAAAAGGATACCCCCCATGGTGATGAATAGTGGTGGTAGAGGGGTGACGGAAAGGACCCTCGACTTGACAAATGATGTCACGAATGAGGATGACGTGACAATTGTGTCGGAGGGAGCAATGGAGGTGATTAAGGTTAAGAAGTGTGTTATTCACGTGCCAGTGTAGGTGATCAGCAAGAGGACGATATTGTCATCACAATATATGTTTCTCCCTTTACAATCGAGGTAAAGAGAAGGACGTTCATAGACAATACGTTCCCTAACCTCTTCCGTGACATCTACCCGATAGAGAAAAAAAGTGGTCGATGGTTGGTTCAACAAGATTAGATATGGGCAAGTATTTAATGGTTTTGTTAAAATAAACTAACTCACCTATGCGTTTTCTAACATTTTTTTATTCTTTCGGCGTGACCTACAAGATAGGGAAGACTATGGTATCGAACACGAAAAAATGGTTTGGCGATATACAGAAGAGTGAAGCGTAGCTTACCAATGACGTAAGTGTATATCCATTGTTATTTTTGTTGTTCATATAATTAGTTTTGTCTTTTACGCATTGGAAGGCTATTGTGGTGAATTTTTAAAAAATCTGGTCAAAGTGGAAAATGACAATGCTGATTTAGCCAATTTGAAAAGTACCTCAATCCCGGTGGGGGGCTAGGTGGCGACCCAGGTTGTATTAAGGAAGGTAAAAAATCTCGACAAACCCGATACCTGAGGGGCCATCCCCGAGCGAGGCGGGATAACCCGCTTAATCTGGCATTCGGGCTGGAGACGGGGAGGGAAATTTTACCCAGGGACAGATTCGGGGCGGGGACGAGTAACAAGTGCCCCGCCCCATTTAATTTTTTTTTTAAATTTAACACTTTAAAGAAAAATTTCACGAAATTTCATTAGTTCTAATAAAAAGAAGTAACTAAAATTATTTGTCTAAATCAAATGAATATGGGGCAATAAAAATAAATTATCAAAAACTAAAAATTNTAATGAATAGGGGCAATAAAAATAAATTATAAAAAACTTTAAATTTTTTTTTTAACAGGGTAATAAACGGAGCAAGGACATCGCCATGTCCCGTCCCGTCTTAAACGGGTAACAGGGCGGGTAATTGCTTGATGGGGGCGCTCAGTTGCCATCCCTAGGTTGTACAATCAGATAGCTATGTCAACTAGTCGAGCTTGAGCTGGGAAAAAAGCTCAGGCTCGACTCGAGCTTTTTTGGGCCAAGTTTTTTTGGGTCCGAGCCTAGCCCAGCCAAAAAAAATGAGGCTCAGCCCGAGTTTTTGACCTGAGCCTTAGCGGGCCGAGCCGATTCGAGGTTTTATTTTTTGTAAAATCTACAATTTCTTGTAATAGTATTTTGATGAATAATAATATGTGGTTAAAAAATAAGAATTTTTTTTAATTTACTTTTAATATTATTTTATTAAAAAATGTACGATTAAAAATAAGAGATAGAAAATGTGCATTGAAAATAATGAGAACAAAATAAGGACTTAATATACATATTTGTGCATAGACACATTCAAGATTGTCTCGCAGTCCACGTCCAAAAGAAAAAATTTAATAAATAAATAAAAGACGATGTTGGACAAAGAATCAATCAGAAACGGTAAATATGGTTCTTTATGTGCGCGAATAAACAAACCCAGATATCAATCAACTTTTAGTTTGATTGGTTTTGAATGCAGCATGAATAAGTTGGTAATTTTAATGTTTTATTAATTAAGAAAATAATGGATGCCTTTATATTTTCACTGGTAACTAATGCAGACTCTCAAACAGGTAGATCAATTAACCCTTAAAACAGAATTTCACTTTAAATTTAAATTAAATATTTTTTTTAGCAAGCTGGACGCGGGCAATTTCGCCCGCGTGCGGGCCGGCCCTGGCTCGGCCTATGTCCCAAAATGGGGCTCGGCCTGAGCTGGGTGCAACCGAGCCGGGCCCACCACTACAACCAGCAAAGCCCCTGTGAAAATTCTCCCCTTTCAAAAATTCATTTCCTTGAAAATTCTAGTTTTTGATCTAGCAAGTATATGGAACTGCCGGCTGCGAAATTCCCGGCGATCCGTTGCCGAAACCCTCAATATATGTCTCCGATAGCTGGACACAAATTGTGCCAAATTGCAAAATGCAAATCCAGTTACATATGGACAAATGTCCCGTCCCAACAGAGAAACAGTCACCGTAAAATCTCTGTCTCTGCTAATTTCCCCAAAGGATTTGGTTCGGAAATTCGAAAGAAGAATGGCTGGATTCACTTTATCGGTGTGGGAGGCAGTGGACTTTCTGCTCTTGCGATGCTTGCCCTCAAACAAGTATATTATTTCCTTTATTTTTACTTTTTTCTTTTTGTTGTTGGATTTCATGGTGATGGTGTTTATCAATGACATCGGATTTCTGGTAAAATTTTATGAATGTTGATAGGGATACGAGGTTAGTGGTTCGGACATTGTATGGAGCAGCTACATGGATGCACTAAAAGAAGCTGGTGCTCATTTATATATTGGTCATTCTGAATTGAGTTTACGAAAGTATAATTTCTCCAGTTCTCCCGATGCAATTGTCTTTTCGAGTGCAATTCGACCGGACAATGTGGAGATTCTATATGCCAAGTCTGTTGGAATACCAGTGTAAGCATTTTGATATTTGCTCATGAAATGGCAAAAGTAGATTATTTTGTGGCATAATCTCTAGTCTTTATCTATTCAAATATGTTAGCACAATTGGTTTTACTCCGTAGGTATAAACGAGGTAAATGGTTGGGAATGCTAACAGAGGACTACAATCTGACTGCTGTCAGTGGAAGCCATGGTAATATTTTGATTGCCGAGTTTTAGACATGGTAATTGATCAGTATTCGGTAGTTAGATGGTATGCATCCATGCACACACTGTTCATTTGCAAAATTGCGTATGTATGCAAGACATTTGATGAGAGATAATGCACTATAATACTTGTTTGGGAGGATGTTGTTCAATAAAAGGACAAGTATAGCTGTATAGGATTGTATGTTTTTATGTAAATTCAGCAAATGAATCTTAAGAGTTTCAGTAATTGTAGGATTTATTAATTACACAAAATCTCGTAAAATAGTATGTATTTGTTTGCTGTGAAAAATTTCTGTATCTCTCCGACTGTGAGACTAAACCAAGTTTAGTTTGGATGGAGCAATTATCAAAACAGCAATCTGAATGGGAAGCCTACTGAAAGTGGATTACCCCATGGTGATGGACTTTATTTAGAATTTTTCTTGGAAATAGTGCAATACTTTTAAAGTGTGTGATGTTCGCATATCTGCAACTTGTTCAACTGAGAAAGGTCATTTATTTTTTAGGGAAAAGTACTACGGCGAGTATGCTTGCTTATGTCTTAAAGTCAATGGGAGATGATCTTACTGCTGTAGTTGGGGCACAAGTGCCACAGGTATTATTTGTATAGCCCATACAGAAGAAGTGATTTTGCTATGACGTTCTAAGCTTACCTGCCTTTTCTTCCATCAACATCTTTGTTGTAAAATTATGATACTATCATTATTCTGTGCTATGGACAAAATTTAGACATTTCTATAGATTTATTTACTTAAAATTTTTGTATCAGAACTCCGACTCATCAAAGCTGCTTTCTGCAGTTTGGTGAAGGTAATGTCATCCATGGGAACGGTTACAATTTTGTACTGGAGGTATGCCATCCAAAGATCAAACTCTGAATACACATCTGCCATTGAAAATGAAAGAGTAGTTCTACGTTATAATTAGATGTTAAGATTTGGATAAATATGATATAACAATGTGATTTGATGTTGGATATTTGTATTCTGAAACAAATGCAATTTTTGAAGATTCTCCTGGATAAGATGGAAACTGAAATAATATATCCCTGGTAGAGAATATATTCCTATGTTACTCATAAATAATAAAGATGAATGCTTAAGCCTGTCTGGGTGTTTTTGATCTATTTGCACTGGGGGAACTGCAGAGAGTCATTAGCAACTTACAGTAAAACTCGTCACATTTTGGGATAATGATATCTCTGTCTTGTGTTTGGTGTAGGCCGATGAATATGATGCTTGCTTCCTTGAATTATCACCTCATGTAGCAGTTGTAACAAATGTGGATTGGGAGCATGTTGATATATTTCAAGACGAGGTTCATTTCATTCTGTTGAACAACTTAACTTGTGATACTGAGATATGATTAACTTTAGCCTGGGATCTTATACAATATTGTCAACATTCAGGAGGCTGTTGAAACAGGGTTCAGGAAGTTCCTTGGGAAAATAAGAAATGGTGGACATCTTGTGTTATGTGGGGATAGGTATATACTAATTAATCCGATGTCTGATATTTTTCAAATTTTCCCTTTGATTTTGTCTGATATCTAGTTTTTCATAATATTAGCACTGCAATAAACTTCAAAACGAACCTCTTTGCAGGAATGAACAAAATCATGGTGCATATACTTTGCTCTATGACCCGAAACAATCCAGCATTTCAGATCATATGGAGCTCCATGATGCACAACTGCTCAGCAACAATTATAGAGTTACAACTTATGGGATGTCAAATTATAATGAATGGCATGCATCATCAGTTTGTTTTAACTCACATGGTGGTAGTGATTATAAACTGGTAAGATGTTCATTTCCTGGTATAAATCATTGATCCCTAAGAACAGGAACAGATTTGTTAATGTGGTAAAATATTTATCAAATTGTTGCAGAACTGTTCCTAGAATTATTCTTCCTCTTCTTCTGCATGTTATTCAGACTATGAACTTTTATCTTTATTGATGTCATGTCGCTAAGACAAGATCAAAGCTTCCTTATATTTCATCAACGGCTCTGGTTACTTATTATTTTGCTCGTACCACGTTCAAACTGCAATTAAAAATTGATTTCATCCATCCTGACTTAATCTGTATCTGGACGTTGGATTCATGTGTGCAAATAGAATATGATTTCACTAACTCTTAGTTCCTCTTTCCTTTGCAGTATCACAAGGGGCATTATGTTGCAGAGATCAGCTTACGAATACCTGGAGTTCACAATGTTCTTAACTCATTAGCTGTGAGTGAGAACCCTAGAAATTTTCCAAAACTATTGCTGATATTCATTAAAAGCTACCGCTGAAGCTATGTTTCAGTTTTTACAACCTTTTGCATTGACTGAATTCTACCTAGTGGTATTGGATCTTTAGGAGGTTTGATATCCTCCACATAGAAAGTTAGTATGTTATACTGTGTTTAGTTCTTCAAATGTTGGCCAAATTTTATTCTCCATATCCGACTGCTTTTCTAAATTCCTCCATCTTTTCCATGCAGGTTGTTGCGACAATGAGTTCGATTTTTGGTGATGAAAGACAATTTTATGAATCAATAGACGATGTGAAGTTTCATCTAAATAAATTCAAAGGTGTTTGTAGACGTTTTGAGATGATAGGTGCGATTCACGGGTGCCATATTTTTGACGACTATGCTCACCACCCCACTGAAGTGCGTGCAGTTATTCAAACAGCAAGGCAAATGTTTCCATCTGAGGAACTTCTGGTGGTGTTTCAACCTCACACTTACAGGTATTAAAAAATGGGTTTTTCTTTCAAGCTTTGTTTGCTTACATGGATAGTTGAACTACTGTTAGTGTTATCATCTGCATTCCGCAGTCGCTTGGCAGCCTTGAAGAGCGAATTTGCCTCTGCATTAATTCATGCAAATCAAGTTTTTATCACTGAGGTAAAATCATAGTCATTTTAGCATTAAAAAATGAGCCGTCACTAAATTCTTGGTTATTGACAACAGATTTATGCTGCCAGAGAGACAAACTTTTGTAATATTAGCGGAAGGGATCTTGCTATGTCTATAATCGGTCCACCATGCGAATTTATCCCATGCCTGGTATGGAAAAAGAACTTTGAGCTCCATCTGACACCGACACTCTCTAGATAAGTAAATAAATAAAGTTGCAGTAAAGCAAAAGTAGCCGTTGGTGATGCATCTTCTGGATAGTGTTATTGAGATAATCAAATCCATCAATATTGAGGAGCATTTCTCAATTTCTGTATCACAATATTTCAATTATGAATAATTTGTAATCTCTTTCAGGACGACGTGGTGGATAAGTTGGCACAGAGGGTTTCAATAGATCCTCGTCTTCCGCTGGTCATCTTGACACTTGGAGCAGGTAGGAAGCTGTTGGGCAGACTTGTTCCTAGGATCACTCATCATACAAAATCTAACTCCAACCATCGGATTTTTTCTCTCTTTTTGCTTGAACAAATAGGTGATATAACTAATGTGGGACGGAAACTGATGCAAAAGTTGAAACAAACAGTATCATGATCCATTCAATTTGAAGATCAACCCTGTGATGCTTCGAAGGAACTAATCCATCAGAATTTTGTTAAAATGCAAACATGAACATGTAATGCCTGAACTGGACCTCTGGAGATTGGGTTATATCTGAATCAGCAATGAGATCCATTGCAAGCTTCTGCTCGATCATTTTTCTGGGTTATGGCACCTGTGCTTGTCTTGTAGTTATCTCCATTTGAATATGATGACCAATGACAAGTTAATGCGATTGATGATGGGCAAAGAAAGGTTTGGTCCTAAGGTGGTTACCCAGATAAATGACGTGGATACCTGCACTGTGATGCAAGCCAAGTTGGGTTTGCCAAAAGGAACCATTTCCCTCAAATTGGATGCAAGACACCAACCAATGGAAGAGGAAAAAGAGAAGAACCAGAAAGCCTGATACTGTTCTAGCAAATCTCATTCTCTCGGCATGCTTGGAATGGATGTGGAAATTAAGCATCGCGATGAAATTTATAAATGCAAAACTCTATGAATACTCAGAAATATTTGTTCTCGGACCTTCTCTCCAGCCTTCTATGTATCTAACTATTTCCTTGGCATGTAAGAGACAAGCAGAACGGTTTTATCTTTGCTGCTTTTAACAAAACAACGGTATTGAATAATGAACTGCAAATAAAATCAAAACCTCGAAAGCAAAATAGTTTCACAACCAGCTCGCAAAGCAAAATTACAAGTTAGAATCATAAGACTAAGGCCTCTAACGTGGTAAAAAACCAATCACAAAATCGTCAAAAACAAATGTAAGAATGGCTAACCTTAACTTCTTGCTATGCACATTTTCCCTAAACAACCCACCATTCCAGATTACAACTGCCTAAAACAGAGCATCATCCACATTATAACCAGTACATTTTACCCTCCAAATAACGAGAAAAACCCGCGTTTTTTGGGCTCCTCCTCCATCATCACAGCCTTCATACTGTCCTGCTCGACCAGCCTCCACGCTGCCTGCTCAAATGCTAACCCGGCCAACGCAGGAGGTCTGTTCAGAACCAGTGGATGCCCCCTATTCGTGCTCCTAATCACCTCAGTATCCTCTGGGATCACCCCCAACAATGGCAACCCCAACATTTCTTGAACATCCAAAACCGACATCATATCCTCCCCTTTTATCATATCTGTTCTCACGCGGTTCACAATCATCTTAATATCCCTAATCCCATCACATTCCAATAGCCCGGTGACCCTATCTGCATCGCGGAGACTAGTAATATCTGGCGTGGTTACCAGAACCGCCTCATTGGCAGGAGAAATAGCAGTTATAAATCCGGCATCAATCCCAGCAGGGCAGTCGATCAGTACAAAATCCGGCGTCCCTTCTTCACGGCCCTTGAGTGCATCCACAAGCCAAACCAAAGCCTTTGCCCCGAATCCAATAGGGAGCTTGGACCTTGGCTTGGAAATGCAAAGTAGCTCGAAATTGGACCAGCGTTTGTCTCGAACAAGGGCCTGGTCGAGCCGGCAATCACCATTCAGGATCTCGAATACAGTATAGTTGACGCGATTCTCGAGACCCAGTAAAAGGTCGAGGTTACGGAGGCCGACGTCGGCATCAATGGCAACCACGGAGAACCCAAGACGGGCTAGGGAGAGGCTGATATTGGCGGCGGTGGTGGTCTTGCCAACGCCACCCTTTCCGGAAGTGATGACCACCACACGAGGCGCCTCCCCGGCCAGCTGGGGCTTGCGGTTGTACTGGAGGAGGGAGTTTACAGTGAGGGTCCTAGGTTTATTCTTGAGGGTTTTGGGGGAAAAGGTATGGCAGTACAGTGGAGAAGTTTTGGGGTTCGTGAGAAGTTGCAGAGATACCATTACTGAGCTTTAATAGGGGAGAGAGGTTGCAGGGGCGGCGGCGGGAATGGGGTTGAGGCAGTGTAGGTGTAGGGCTGAGAGAAATGGAGTTGCTGTTGCTGGGGATGAAAACTGCATAATTGGTCCTCAGTCTATTGACTAGTAGCAAGTGGTTCTCAACTTTCAAAAAAAGAGCAAATTGGTCCTTCAATCTTTTATGTGACAAGAATATGGACAGGTAGGGACCCTTAGAGGTGTCAATCCAGGTGGTCCGGCCGGGTAGGCCTGCCAACATATGAGCCCGATAACAGCCCGCATGAAAAAAAGCCCGTCTGCTACGGG